TCACACTTCGTTTCCTCTCCTCCCCTCCACTTGAAATCCCTCAATTTTTTTTACAAATTGAAGTTGTTTTCCAAATTTTTTACAGATTTTTTACAAAATTTTTCAGAATTCAAATTTTTTACAAATTTTTTTACAGATTTGTTACAAATTTTTTTACAAATTTTTTGTGAGGTGTGAATTTGTTTAATGGTATGTTTGATAAAATTAATAAGTATTATTTTTAACAAATTAATCATAGTTGTGTAAAAAAAATTGATTCCCCTGTTTTGAACCAAACACGAATAAAGGGAATTCTATTCCCTTTCCTATACTGAACCAAATAGACGGAGTAATAATAGTTGAATTAAAAGAAAATTATAAATCAATTGCACCAGCGATCTCCCTATGCTTTAATCCACTTGACCGTAGAAAGTTTCTGCGACAATTGTTGGTCTTCAGAAAATGAATCGCTTGCTTCAAAATAATTCTTTCCTTCTGGATGAAGATCTGCCGAGATAATCCCTGGAGATTTTCAAATTCAAAACTCCTTTCCTTCAATGGCCGTTGGAGAAACGGAAGAAATTGGAGAAATGCTGGGATTCGCTGGGATTCAAAACTCCTTGCCTTCAAAAAAAGGAAGAAATTGGAGAAACACTTATAATTGCTAAATCGTTGGCGGAGAAAGATGGGCGATTATGCCTTCAAAATTAGGTAACTCCGATTATGCCTTCAAAATTAGGTTAAGTCCCATTCACAACTTTTGCCTTGGAAAATCCTATGCACGATTCTGATTTAGCTACCAAATTTAGGACATTTCTTATTTCTTATTGGGAGATTTCTTATTTGTGAAAAATAAGTGTTGGCATTTGGCAATCTATATGTCACGTTGGAATACATTCATTTCAATTGTGTTCTTCTCGATTCAAAATTGTTGCCTTGGAAAGAAAACTACAAACGAATTGTTTTTTGTTTGCTGAATCGTCATGTCTTTCAAGCCCATTCACCCTTTATCAAAAATCAATCCGACAAGTGAGTGTTGGAGGATTTGTGTTCGTGTGATGCTTTTGTATACGTTGCCTACCTTCAACGATAACAAGGCAACAAACTCAATAGAGATGGTGTTCCTCGACGAACACGTAAGTATATATATCATATGTTAAATATTTATTCAAGTTTAGCCTTTGTTCCAAGTTTTTATATATTTCATGTTTTTTCAACCAATGTTTCTGTCTATATATTGAACCGATGATAAGTGTCTTTCTTTAACCAATGTTTTGTTTGTTTCAATTCAAAATATATAGCCTCCGTTCCAAGTTTAGCCTCTATTCAAAAAAATATAGCCTCTGATCCAAGTTTAGCCTCTGTCTAAAAAAATATTCCCTCTGTTCCAAGTTTAGCCAACTCATTTAGGTACCATATTTTAATGAGTATCCATTATAAGAGGAATATAAGTTATACTCTTAGGTACTCTTTAAATGCACTCAATCCATCTTGATGGATACTTAATGAGTATCCACTTATATATGCACTATATCCATCTACATGAATTATATACTCTTGGGTTTATCCATACTAGTGTTTTAACCCGTGCCATGCACGGGTGGAACGAAATTTTGTTATACTCCGTATTCTATAAATTTTATTAAAGACAATGTTCTTTTGGATTCTGACTTTTAGAGTTTTTTTTGTTGTGAGAAAAATAGTTTTTAAAGATTCTAAATCTAATTTTCTTTGGTTACATAAGTAGTAGGAAATCATTTTTTAAGAAAAAATGGTTATATTTCCTATAGATGAATGTCCATTTTCTTTGTAATTAATTGAGTCTTCTAATTCTACGAACAAAGCAAAAAATTACTCTCATTTCGTCCCCCTTCCTTAAACCTTATAAAACAAAGCTCTATAATAGAGATTTGATACCTATTGTGTGTGAAAATAATATAATTATGTCACATCTTATTTTGTAAAACTTTTGATCTCGTTTTTAAATATCTATTTTTTTATTATTTAACTTTACACGAATCATCATATCAAGTGAATTAAAACTAATTTTATTCAAACATCGTAACGAAGAAAATTTGTGGATGAAGTGAGTATTTATTTAAAAAAATCATACACTAATAAACATTTCCGTAAAATTAACTAAAATTTGGTACTTTAAATTCTAAAAATATTTTTAAAAACAAATTTTCAATAATAATTCAAGATAATAACATAATTTATAAATCTTTCGATGTAGTATGATTAAATTAATAATTGATATCACTATACTATTTCGGAAATAATCTCACTTTTTTTCAAAAATAATCTCACTTTTCACTGTCACAAAAAATAATCTCATCTTTCTGCATGTGTGCGAGTTTTGGGTCGCCGTTAAAAAACTAACGGTCATTTAATACTCCCTCCTTCCCCCTATATTTGTCCACTTTCATTTTTACACACCATCCAATGCACTTCTTTAATCCATTTTATCTTATAATTTGTATATTAAAAAATTATAAAAATTATATATTAATAATCTATATGTTAAGACAAATCAAACAAGATCACATATGACTATATTTAGGCTTACACGTTGAGAGAATTTAATGAGTCAAAGAGCTTAGATGAACAGTTCCAAAAGTCAAATGTGGACAAATACAGGGGGACGAAGGGAGTAGGATTTTTTGAAAATGCATATTTTTGAAAAATAAATGAAAGGTGGGATGATTTTAGGTAAATTTATTTTTTAACTTTTTGACATGCAACATTTTTTAAGGATAAGAACCAAATTCAAGGATATAGAATAATTGCTCATAGTTTTCTCAATCTAATGACGCACAATGAGTAAATGCAGTTGCTTCCTTTGGAGTTCAAACTTGGGAGAAGTTCTATTCATAATCATTTATATTTTAAAAAAAGGATAAGCCTCATCCCTGAGGGCATCTAAAACCCGGTCAAACAGTTATTGAAAGAAAATAAATTAAACTTTGAATCCGGTACTTATAGAGGCCTCATGCTTAGCATAATTGCCTTCCGTCGCAGTTGTCTGTAATCAAACTCGGGTCTTACCCCCTTGGTAATCTTTACTTTTGGCAACTACACAACAGGGTGGAACGAATTTTTTGTTTCGAATTTTTAAGTTTTCTTTGTTACAACATTCTTAAAAAATTGAACAAAATAAAATATCAACCTTAAAAGTTAAAATAATGATAAAATAAACTCACTCGTCCCACAAAACCTTTATGGTTTTGACTTTTAAAAGATTTAAGAGAAGTATTTTGGTGCTGACCTTCCAAAAATGCCCTTGGATGTGATGTGTAAAAGTAAGATGTGATGAGTTGATTAATACTAAAAATGTGATGTGATAGACATGTTCAAAATTAGGAGTAAAGTAATTTTCTAATAGAAATGAGAAAGATTTATGAGGACGGATGAAAAAAGAAAGGAGAAGATTTTGTGGAATAGAGAGAGTATAACATTTTTTGATGAAAATTATATTATATTTATTTGAAATTTAACATGTCAAGCTCTTACTTAAATTAGAACATTTTGAAAAATTAAGGTTGTGCTAGGTTTTGCTTCAATGGGAATATATTTTATGTTTTAAATTATAAATTTTAAATTTCAAATCTTAAATTTTAATTATAGTTATAAAATTTTAAGTTTTTTAATTTTAAAATTATATTATAGTTATAAAATTTTATATTTAATATGTTAAATTTTAAATATTAAAATTTTATATTTTAAATTTTAAATTTTAAATTTTAAATTTTAAATTTTAAATTTTAAATTTTAAATTTTAAATTTTAAATTTTAAATTTTAAATTTTAAATTTTAAATTTTAAATTTTAAATTTTAAATTTTAAATTTTAAATTTTAAATTTTAAATTTTAAATTTTAAATTTTAAATTTTAAATTTTAATTAAAATTTTAAATTT